CTGAGGCTGTGATCCTCGGCTCCCTGCCACCACTGAGAAGTGGAGGCTGGGAGAGGGTGGTGGGGCAGAGGGAGAGGAGCAGCGGCCGGGCCAATCTGGCTCCTTTGGTGGCGGGGAGTGCAGGGGGAGAAGGGACGATCCCCGTTGTCGCTGAACCAGGCCCCATAATCCCGCAGGTCCCTGCTGTCCATAGGATGGTTGGGCTGGCCACCGTCCTATGGATGGGATGGCTATGGTAGCATTTCAAAGCAGTGATATCAACAGCCCCATATTTTTGGCGTCTACTTTAAAGGTTTGTAGCTAAAGGATGGAGTCTGCTTTAAGTGCCAGGAGTTCACTACAGATACCAAATTGTTTAGACTTCAGTGGCTAAAGTCAAGCACCGAACTCCTTATTGGTCTGAGTTTTCAGTGGTGCTGAGCCCTGCAGCTTTTCCAGGCTTTCATGGGCGCTCAGCACCTGTGAAAATCAGGGCTTTGACAATCAGGGCTTTGACAATCAGGGCTTTCTTTCTTTAGGCGCTTTACTCAGCAGCCAGCCTTGAGGCTTGCATGGTTTTCACAGGGAAACAGATTCATTGTCTCAAACATGGCCAGTGCCTTAAGCTGGGGATGATGAGTAGAGCTGAAAGCCTGGTACTCACTGGCTGAGCTGAGGAATCTGGTAGCCTGACTCAATGTTAGAGATGCCTGCAGCCACAGCGGCGGTGACCATGAGCCTGGGCTTGTTAACCTGCGTGGCCTCCTGCTCAAAGGCTTGCAGCATTTCCTAAAACAGGTTATAAAGAAAAGACCACCTAACTGGCAAGGGGCAGCAGCACAGAGCTTTGGTCGCCCTCCACATGTTCCTGGTGAATAAGAAACGGCCCCATTCCCTCCTTGAGGAGTCTTAGCCTGCTGGGTTTTGTCCTCCCATCTTTTGTTAATTCTGTCTGGCATTGTGAAGAAGATGGGTCAAACTTTTCAGAAGTTAGGTTCCTAATTTCCACTTTCAAAAGTGACTTAAACACTTGAGAAGCCAAGTCCCATTGATTTTTAATGACATTTAGGTGCCGAAGGGCAGATTTTCAAAGACACTTAGGTACCTAAAAATGCAGCTAGTCACCTGGTCGGATTTTGAAAAGCACCGAAGCCAATCAGGTGCATAATTTCTATTTAAATTAAGAGGCGTTAAGTGTCTAATATGCTCAGGCATTTCTGAAAATCACACTAGGCACCTGTCTGCATTTTTAGTCTTCTAGATACTTTTGAAAATGTGGGTCTAAAGATCTAGTTCACTTTTGAAAATGGGATATTAGTTTCTACGTCGCTCACACACTTTTGAAAATGTAACCCTCTGCCTTTATTACAGAGCATCCCCGCTATACATCCATAATACATTAAAAAATGTGGAAATATAATGAAATGACGTAAAACGAGGAATTTTTTTCCGGTGGCTTTTTTCTGGTGATTTGCACTCATATTTTTTTTTTGCATGACATAAGAGCGAGAAATGGGAGGACTTATAATGCATCAGTTCCTATAAGCATCAATGACGTTAGTGCGGAACCGACATATACCAGAGTGACTTATAGCGAGGACGCCCTGTATTCATCAGCTAGGAATTTACAAGCGCTAAGGGCTCTTCTAAACCTAAAGCTGATTTACAGTCAGATCTTGCATTCTTGTCTATCCTGTAAACCTAAAGCTGATTTACCTAAAGCTGATTTACAGTCAGATCTTGCATTTTTGTCTATCCTGCAGAATCCCATATACATTTGCCAAACTGAATACTAATTAATTATGCTAATCTCACTGGTATTTGGTATTTTATATGCTTTTACGCTTGATTGCTGGAACATTTGTAGTGCATTGTACAAACAATCTGTGACTTTTTTTGTACTGGGGTTTCTTTCAACAGCAAAGAGCTGGCTTCCTCCTTACCTGAACAAGAACAGTGAAGAGGCCCTTGTCCTGAGCAGGGCTGCCTCTGGAGCCAGGGTATTCCCAGTCAAAGTCCAGCCCATCAAATTCGTACTGGCGCAGGAATGTGATAACGGAGCTGATGAAGGTCTGGCGAGTCGCGGGAGAGGAAACCATTGCAGTAAATCTAGGGAGGAAAAAGGGGGAAAGGAGTCAGGTTGTTTCACCTCTCACGCAGCTGTTCAGAATATCGGGATGCCGTCATAGGGAAAGGGATGGGTTGGACTTACGGAGCTGTTCCAAAATTCCAGCCTCCGATAGCCAGGAGGGTCTTGAGTTGTCCATTCCTACAAAGACAAAGATGGGAGATTGGCATGAAGAAGAAAGTTTCAAACAGAAGCCTTCTGGTTTGGCATTACCCACTGTGTTGTAATTGCTGTCCTGAGAGAGAAAAGATACTCATGTGCTCTGAAACTTGTTATATTGCCTTGGTTGGGCAGCTCTTTACCTGTGTTACAGATGAGGAAACTGAGGCAAAGGGCATGGAAGTGACTTGCCCAAGGTCACACAGCAAGTTAGTGGCAGAGCCAGGAAAGGACCCCCCCCCCCCCCCCCCCCCAGGTCTGATTCCTATTCAGTGTGTCAAAATTCCACCCCTAAGTGAGCTTTGCAAATTGACAGACATCTCCCATTACTATTTAGATATGTATTTAATGGGAACATATTAGATGTAATATACATCAATAGATGATACACTTGGGTTTATTGCTTTAAGTTCCCTAGAAGTCTAGTTTGGATAGAGGATCGTAGTAACTGAAGATAAATAATTATCTAGACATGGATTCTCTTTCACTGCCGTACCGCCCCTGTCTACACCATCACCTCTAATCTTCATAAGTGGTTGCTATTCATAGCACGTTGGAGCAACCAAAGAAGACATTTCTGTCAGTCACGTCTGCTTCTTTCTGGAGCCTTGTTTATAATAATGCAGTGAGTTTTAAGGATCTAGTTATCCTAGTATATTCAGGGAAGTTAATGCACAAATCTATCATCAGTCTCTTGCCATAGGATTACTCACTGGTTTTTCAAGCCATTAAAGGAACTGTAGAGAGTCAGGTCGTTCCATTCAATGGTGGTGATCTGATTGTTCTTCATCCCCGCAAAGGCATAGATCAGGTGAGTACAGAGGCATGGGTCGATGTTATCCGGCATAAAGCGGCCAAGGCCTGGTCTGTACTGGGCCCAGTTGGTGAAGTAGCATGTCAGCTGGTAGGCAGAGCCTGTTTTTCGGCCAAGAAGAGGGGGAAAGGTTATAGGGATATCTGTCACAAGGAACTACCGTGGTTCATGAACATGAAGCATGGCCCCAGATAGAGGACTCCTTCTGAGTATGCCAAATGGGACCTCAGGGTAGAGATGATGTTATTCTATAGGGGAGCATTCTAATCCTTTAAGACCCAACTCTGAAAACCCTTGCTTCTGGACACACTGCTTGCTGCTTGGAGATATTTTCAGTGAAGTCAATGCTGGCAAACAAAAAACAAAAACAAAAAACAAACAAAAAAAAACCCTCGCAAAAATGCAGTATTTTTGCACAGGGTAGAAACATAGGAATAGAAGACACGGAAAGCTGCTGCATATCTCCTTGCAACTCCCCCATTTAGGACCGGTATCCACAATTCATAAAATGTAGATGCTGCGAATGTCTTGATATAATCCAGATCTCTTACTAATGGCAGGGTTGGCTGAGAACGCAAACCACGTATTATTTGAAATTGTAGGCATTGCTCTATTCTGCTAATATGAGAGCTGGTAAAAAAAGAGGGTATGCAAATCTGAATATCTATAGTTTTGAAAATGCAACATTTTCAGTTTCAATCATTAAAAAAAGTGTCACCAGCTGCTTGGCTGAGTTAAAAAAACAACCACCCCAAAACCAAAACTTCAAACTGTCAACCAGTTCTAGTCAATAATAATTATGGGCCTGATTCTCTGTTCACTCACAAGTGTGTAGGAAGCATTACACTCTTAGTATAACTGGAGAATCCAAGCCTGTTGATTTTACACAGGACCGGAATACCTTTAAAACAACAGAACTGCTGGTCAGTTTTGTCCGGCCAAGCTGGAAAATGGAGTTGGTCTTTGGCTGAATGTGATGGCTCAATGCACTGTGCAGAATGCTTTGATTAAATTATGAATGCCATCATTTGAATTTTGGGCTCTCCTTAAAGCCAGTCTTGCCCCTCACACAGTGTAGGTCTGTAACGAATGGTAGGATGGGTTATACAGGTTGAAAGAGGCACTTGCTGGTGTGGCAACATCCGTGGCCCAGCATGATTTTAGTTAGCCGGATGTTGACTTATGGGTGTGGCCACGTTCCCCGCAGTCCCATAAAGTTTGTTTACTGCCACCAATTCTAGCTCTCAGTGTTCTGTGCTGTTATTGAGTTCTAATTGACCTCTAAATGTCTCCTAAGAGCCAATCAGCAGTGGAAGTGTTGGTAATGCTGTTAGACGATATTTACCATCTGTGGTCTGGCAAATTCTCTAGTTCAGCACCAGTTAGGCACCGGACTAGAGAGGTTCAACCTGCATCTAAAAGTTTATGCTTTCTCTTTTCCTCTATTTGACATTGTGAATGAGCTATCAAGAGAATAGTCATATTGGGTTAGACCAAACGTCCATCTAGCCCAGTATCTTGTCTTGCAACAGTGGCCAATGCAAGATGTCCCAGAGGGAGTGAACAGAACAGGGAATCATCAAGTGATCCATCAAGTTTCACAGAATTGTTTGTTCACCGTGCTCTATGTATCTCTATTTGTTCAACTGCTATCTGCGGTAGAGGGCTTTGTGAATGGGATGTAAATAAGAGACCACTGTTTTGTTTGGATCCTCTTAAAATGAGCCCCAGACTTTGAAAATGGGTATATAGGGCTTAATTTGTGGGGGTGGGGACATAATACAGGTAAGATCTGGTGAATAAATAGTGTGTCAGGAAAGAACAAGAATCATTTAAGAAAAATACTCACCCAGCTGAGCATTCAGCAAAAGTGCCAGCCCTGTCAAGATAAGCAAAAGTAAAGAAACTATCTAAATAAAGTGCAAAATACACAAATAGTTCATAACCTCAAATGCCTCCGATCAGTTCTGGTTATAAGATACCATATTGTACTCAGGAATAAGACCTTCCTAAGGACTTAATGTACAAATGAGTGGTTAAATCCTGCCCATGAATACGTGAAAGTTGTAGATATAAAGGGATAGAATTTAGCGTGCATCATTCACGTAAGATTGAGTCAAATACTGTAGCTGCATTTACAAAGAAGATCGGATAATTGATCCATAAGTCCCGAGGAAAGGAGTAATCAAATATCACGTTTCAGGCTAATAAACTGTGCCTTAGGCGGTAAGGAAGGAATTTTCCACTCTATGCACAGCATTGCACAGTTGTATGGTGCATCACTAGGAAGTTCTTTGACCTTCTTCCAAAGCACAGAGGTTGTCCACTGCTATGGGCAAAGTACTAGTCTAGAGGAGTGGTTTTCCCATCCTTTTTCATTTGTGGACCTCTAAACAATTTTGAACAGAGGTGCGGCTGCCTTTGGGAATCATAGACATAGTCTAAGCTTGAAAACCACTGTTATATGGTAATGACAACCTTTTGTGGACCCTTTAGACATAGTCTGAAGATGCCCAGGAATCTGCATATCAAAAGCCGCTGGTCTAGATGGACCAAATGGCTTAATTTAGTATTTTGAATCGGTGTGCTGTATAGACCTACCTATTTGTGTCCTAAGTCACTTTGCAGAAGACAACTGCATCTTAAATTGATCAAGAATATAGCTGCACAATTCCTGTGGAAATAAGGTTATGTAGCGACTTACCGGTAAGGAGGATCAGCTTAGCCATGATTTACCTCTGTACTGATCCAATGATGTTTCTCTCGTCCTTTTATACCATGTGCCTCCTTCTTTATCACACGGTCACCTTGTCACCAAAGAGACCGAATGGTGCAGTATCTAACCATTAATTAGCGAATCCATTAGCTATTAATGGTTAGCTAATGGATAAATCAACAAAACTTTCCAGCCTCCCTTTGTAATACTTTCTAATTTCTAGGTAACTTATCTTGTATAATAGTCTTACCACCATGGAAAGGGCAGAGCTAAGGAGATATAAAAGATAAGCATTCATTTTCCAGTGTGCTGGTTCATATACTAATTTAATGCTCCTGATTAAAATGTATTTCTTTTGCAGTGCAAATAACCTTTTAATAGGTTTGTTGAATGTTCCTAGATAAAAAAAAACCTGTAAATATGGTTACTTGAATGAGATTGGAGATGCCAAGAGAACTTCATGTAACTATTTTGTATTTAAACATTGTTAAATGTCAGCGTTTTCCCCCTGGTCCTGCTTACAAGTGAGGGGGCTTTGTAGTGAAGTGCGCAAACTAGGTCTAGCAGCAGTTTGTTTAAAGCTAGCCAGACAAAAGTAAGGTGGAATTAACTGTACCTCTTTGACTTAGGGAGCAGTCTGCTTCCGTCTCTATGATGTTGGGCTCATGTGTATGATTGTTTTGAATACTAAAAAATAAATTTGTTACATTGCAACCTTCCAGCAAGAATATTTATGTTTTTATATAGCTTCTCTGTGTCTATGCCAGGAGTGGGACTAGCCATCAGTGGAGTAAAGCAATTTACTAATTGTTGAATGAGATCAGAATCGGGTGCAGTGTCTCCTTTTCTCGTGCAAACTGTACTATCTGTCCCCCAGGTATTGTATTGGTCTGAGTTAGATTGTAGAAATAGACAAAAACCAAAATGCAAATTGAATTAATAGATTATAAACCCACAAGGGAGCACTGTGATCAGTCTGACTTCCTGTCTCCCACAGGCCATAAAACTGCCTTAAAACATAAGAACACAAGAACGTCAGACCAATGGTCCATCCAGCCCAGTATCCTGTCTGCCGACAGTGACCAATACCAAATGCCCAGAGAGAAAGAACACAACAGGTACTGTAATCCTCACGTGATCCCTCTCCTGTCACCCATCTCCAGAGAAACAGAGGCTAGGGACATCATTCCTACCCATCCTGGCTAATAGCCATTGATGGACCTAACCTCCATGAATCTATCTAGCTCTTTTTTGAACCCTGTTAAAGTCCTAGCCTTCACCACATCCTTTGGCAAGGAGTTCCACAGGTTGACTGTGTGCTGGGTGAAGAAAAACTTCCTTTTGTTTGTTTTAAACCTGCTGTCTGTTAATTTTATTTGGGAGCAAAGCTTGGGGCTTGTGTTCCCCAGCCTTAGGTTTACCCACTGCCCAGGTCTGGAGGCTTTTAAGAACAGGCTGGATAAATACCTGTGGGAACAATCATACCTACACACTTTTTCATGGGCTCTCTGGCTGGGAGGTTGCAGTGAAGTTGAGGAAGCTGGCAATTTTATTCTTTACTATGGTTGCAACTAATTTGCCTGGTACTGAAGTTAGACTTACTGGTCTGTAATTGCCAGGATCACCTCTAGAGCCCTTTTAAAATATTGGCGTCACATTAGCTATCTTCCAGTCATTAAGTATGGAAGCTGATTTAAAAGAAGGTTACAAACCATAGTTAAAAGTTCTGCAATTTTCCATTTGAGTTCTTTCAGAACTCTTAGGTGAATGCCATCTGGTCCAAGTGACTTGTTACTGTTAAGTGTATCAATTTGTTCCAAAACCTCCTCTAATGACACCTCAATCTGGGACAATTCCTCAGATTTCTCACCTAAAAAGAATGGCTCAGGTTTGGGAATCTCCCCACTATCCTCAGCCGTGAAGACTGAAGCAAAGAATTCATTTAGCTTCTCCGCTATGACTTTATTATCTTTGAGTGCTCCATTACCACCTTGATCGTCCAAGGGCTCCACTGGTTGTTTAGCCGGCTTCCTGCTTCTGATGTACTTAAAAAACATTTTGCTATTACTTTTTGAGTTTTTGGCTAGCTGCTCTTCAAACTCCTTTTTAGCTTTTCTTATTATATTTTTACACTTAATTTGACAAAGTTTATGGTCCTTTCTATTTTCTGCACTAGGATCTGACTTCCACTTTTAAAAAGTTATCTTTTTATCTGTCACTGCTTCTTTTACTTGGTTGTTAAACCACAATGGCACTTTTTTGGTTCTCTTACTGTGTTTTTTAATTTGGGGTATACACTTAAGTTGGGCCTCTATTATGTTGTCTTTGAAAAGTTTTCATGCAGCTTGAAGAGATTTTATTTTTGTCACTGTACCTTTTAATTTATGTTTAACTATCTTCTTCATTTTTGTGTAGTTCCCCTTTTTGAAATTAAATGCCACAGTATTGGGCTGCTGAGGCATTTTTCCCACCACAGGGATGTTAAATTGTATTACATTATGGTCACAATTTCTAAGCCGTCCAGTTATATTACCTCTTGAACCAGATCCTGCTCTCCACTTAGGACTAAATCAAGAATAGCCTCTCCCCTTGTGGGTTCCAGAACCAGCTGCTCCATGAAGCAGTCATTTAAGATACCAAGAAATTTTATCTCTGCATCCTCCTGTCCATAGGTGACGGATACCCACTCAATATGAGGATAGTTGAAATCCCCCACTATTATTGAATTTTTTAATTTGATAGCCTCTCTAATCTCCCTTAGCATTTTATATTCACTATCACTGTCCTGATCAGGTGGTTGATGATATATCCTTATTGCTATATTTTTATTATTGGAGGATAGAATTTCTATCCATAGAGACTCTATGGAACATTTAGGGTCATTTAAGATTTTTACTGCATTTGATTCGACATTTTCTTTCAAGTATAGTGCCACTCCCCCATCAGCAGACCTTCGGTTAATTCCTGCTTGAACTAGAGTAGATCTTATAGAAAAATATCCATTCTTGATTGCTAGGGATAGAGAACCTAGCACAGATGTGGATAAATAGTTCCAATGTTTAATTGACCTTACCGTTAAAAATGTGCACCCTTATTTCTCATCTGAATTTGTCTATCTTTAACTTTCAGACATTTTATTTTGTAACTTAGTTTGCTGCACTGGTATTTATAAACTGAGATTAAGTCCCTCTTTAACTTGCATGTTGATAAGATAAACAGATTGAGCTCCATTAGTTTTCACTGTACGGCATATGTTCTGAGACTTTCACCATTTTTGCGACTCTACTGTGAACCCTCTCCAATTTTTCAACATTCTTCTTGAATTGTGGACAACAGATTTGTCCTCAGTATTCTAGTAGTGGTTGCAGCAGTGCCAAGTGCAGGAGTAATATAACTTCTGTACTCCTTCTTGATGTTCGTATTTATATGTCCAAGTTGCACATTGGCTATAGCGTTTTACTGGGAGCACATGTCGTAGCTGATTATTTACCCCTCAAATCTTTTACAGAGTCACAGCTTCCCATGAGAGGGTGCACTGTCCTGTAAGTAGGGTCTCCGTTCTTTGTTCCTAGATGTTTGACTTTACACTTAGGTGTAGTGAAGTGCACATAGTTTGCTAGTTCCCAATTTACCAAGAGATCCAGATCACTCTGAATTAGGCCTAGTCTACACTAATCCCTGCTGTCAATCTAATTTACGTGACTCCAGCTTTGCAAATAGTGTAGCAGAAGTCAACATACTAACTGCAGAGTCTTAAATGAGGGATAAGGTCGGTGGGGGCTGCTCTTCTGTTTGACCCTGGCTACTCTTGTCCTAGTGGAGCACTGGCATCGATGGGAAAGTACTCAGAGATGGATTTATTGATTTATCATGTCTAAGCAGACATGATAAATTGACAGCTGGTGGATTGATCACTGCAGCGTTGTTCCCTGGCATTGTGGAGACAAGCCCTTAGTGACCTCTCATCCTATTTATTTACCACCCCCCCCATCTTTGTGTCATCGGTAAACTTGATCAGTAATGATTTTATGTTTTCTTCCAGGTCATTGATAAAAAATGTTAAACATCATAGGGCTAGAACTGATCCTTGTGGGGCTTTAAAAGAAAAACACCCACTTGATGATTCTCTGTTTATAATTAAATTTTGAGATATAGCAGTCAGCCAGTTTTTAATGCATTGATTATGTGCCATGTTGATTTTAGTTTTTTAATCAAAATGAGTCGTAGTATGAAGTCAAAAGCCCTATAGAAGCTGAAAGATGATATATTAATGCTACTTCCTTTATAAACCAAATTTGTAATCTCATCAGAAAATGATATTAGCAGAGGGTTTGTGAAATCTAGATCTGGATTTTGGGGTTAGAACCAAGGTTTCCTTTAATCTTTTCCATCCATGTGCAGATGTTTTGCATGCATGCATGGAATCAATTTTTTTCATGTGCACCCAGGCATGTGCAAATGTGCACCACCAATAGAAACAAAAACCAAGCTGCCAACATTCTGCTAATTAGCTGGGCAACATTTGAATCTCTCCTGCATGGCCGCACAAGTGTATGGCTTACAGGGAACACTGACTGGTCTGAACTCATCTGTCTTGGACTGTAAATTTGTCACAGCAAGAGTGTTGTATTTTTATATCACCTATTAAGTCTTTGCTTTCAGGGCCAGGTCTTCAATTGGTATAAATCGGTGTGGTTCCATTTAAGTCAGTGGGATTATGCCCATTTACACCAGTCGAGCTTCTGATTCACCATGCTCCGTAAGTGATAAACATTAATCTGCTGGTGCTCAGAATTGTCTTTATGGTGTTCCAATGAAATCCTAGGATGATTCCTTAAAATTTCCAAAGCCTTCAAAGCTTTGGAGGGTCCACTATATCTGTATCACAGTCTTGCATCATCTGCCGTTATGCCTGGGCTCCCCTGGATTCTGTTCTAATGAGGAAATCAAGGGGCTTGGAGTTCCAAGAGTTGAGGGTGACATCTGCTCATAGTTTAGGGCTTTGCTGGACCTGATAGGCCCATGAGGGTAGTGTGAATCCCACTTGTCCCCATGATCCCACCTGGAGCTGCTAGAAGTAAGGTGGGGCTTACTGGCTAATATGGCCAATGCAGAGTAGTTGAGGTGAGGTATTGGTTCTGTCCACTCTCTGTCCTTTTGGTCTGATGTGGGCTCTGTGTGGTGCGAGGAGCAAGTGAATTCTGTGCTCTGTGGAGCATGAGGACTGCAATTATTGAAGAAAGGGGGCAAGCAGGGCAAGAGGCTTCTTGGTGGACACACCCACACAAAAGTCAAGCCCAGTCCAACCCCAACGATGAATCTGTATTCTCATGTGGAGACCATTTTGCCATAGAGGTGTTCAGTTACTGGGCTATAAAATGGATTTATCAGGCTAACAGTCACCACGAAGGCTCCTAGTACATTCTCTTCTCTTTTTCTTTTTTTCAGTGTCAGGTAGAGGTGCTGACCTACAGAAGGTCTTTTAAAGGTATTTACAGACCAGCCCCAGGACTTGCAAATGCCAGGTTTGCCAGCCTCACTGAACCTGCCACCAGCATGTCAATACAATAGGAATGTCTGACAGCCACAGGGTCGGACCAGAGAGATACAAAAGAGTAACAAAAGAAGGGAGGTATATTTGCCTCGGACTGAGTAAATCTCTGTTCCCAGGGTAAACTGGCAAGGGCTAGTCCAGAACCAGCAAGCTCTTTCCATAATCAATCAGAGCAATTAAGCATCTGGAGTTAAATGGGCTTACAGAGTCAAGTGAACCGAGGATAGTTAGAACACCTGGGACCAGTTAAGAGCTGCTCTGCAGTTTGTTAGTGCACAGGAAGCTGAGAGGACAGAGGGGATGCTACAGAGAGTCTGGGAGGAGCAAGCACCAGCAAAGGCTAGTAGGAAGATAAGGTGATGGAGCAGGTGGGAGGAAATAGCCGAGGGATTTTGTAGCTGTCTCACAGCAGGTGTTGGAGACTTTTACAGGCAGCTGCTATTACAGGGCCCTGGGCTGGAACCCAGAGTAGAAAGTGGGCCCCGGTTCCCTCCAACACCCACTTCCATTCCACTCGGGGAAAAGAAAGAGGTTTCCCCAGCCCTGTTCCATTGGGGGGTCGACTGAGACTGTGGAGTTTGATTCCCCCTATACCTTCAGCTGGCCAATGGTGAGCAGAGCTCAACAAACAGCAAGCTGCCCTCTATACCTTCAGCAGGCCAATGATGAGCAGAGCTCAACAAACAGCAAGCTGTTGCCCTAGGTGTGGTGCTTAAATTGAGGGCAGCCATGAGCCTCTGAGGCAAGCAATTCACCTGAAAGCTCAGGACCCACCAGAGCTGAGTGGGAGCTTTGTCACAAATGATAGGCAAGGTAACATCTCATTGTATGTTCTCCTTTCCTGATAGCCCGAGTCATTCTTTTCCCTGACAATTAATTCTTCAGATACTAGAGAGACAAAGTATGGGAGGTGATATCTTTTATCAGGCCAACTCCTTTCTGTGAGAGAGGCAAGCTCTCATGCGTACACAAAGCTTTTCTCTCTCACCAACAGAAGTTGGTCCAGTAAAAGATATTGCCTCATTTACCTTGACTGTCTGATATCCTGGGACCAACATGGCTACAAGGACACTGCATACATAGCTCTAGAGCAGAGGTGGAGAACCCTTTTTGGGTTGGGAGCTGCTGACTTACAGAGACATCAGTAGGGGCTGCACAGAAGTGAAAAGCAAAAAAACCCAAACAAACCCCAAGCCCCACATTCCCCTTGCACACCGGAGCCTGGGGGGCCCAGGCTAGTAGATTTTGTAGGTCCCCCTACACTCTGGGGTGGGGCCAAAATGAGGAGTTCAGCATGTGGGAGGGGGTTGTTGGGAAGCAGGCTGGGTGTGTGTGGTCTGCGCAGCAGGGAGGGTGCAGGAGCAGGCTGTGGGTGGGAGGTCTGGGTGGAAGGGAGGGTTCAGGAACAAAGTGGGGGGCGGGGTCTGGGCAGGAAGAGGGTTGTAGGCTGGAACGCTATCCAGGCAAGACAGCCCCTGGGCGGTATATTCCCCACTCCTGCTCTAGACACTGATATCTCCAGCTAGTAGAAATAAGAATATTTATGGGTGTGTTTGTGTACTGGAATTGGACAAACTTTTGGACAGAGCTTGCAAGCAAGCAAACCAATCTGTTCATCTTAACAGGTCTCCCACTGGGTTTGCAAACCTTTTGGGGGAACTTGGGCCTGAATTTCATGTGGCAGTTGTCTGGAGCCTCTCCGTTATGGTTGAGATTTGATTTGAGTTGCCAAGTCCGTTTGGACCCTTAGTTCATACTGGAGACCCATTGTTACGGGTTAGGGCAACCACACCTGTCGTGGCCCAGCCAGGGCACCCAGGCTCCCAGCTCCTTGGCCGTCACTCGCTCGAATGGAGACACCTGACCAGGGTGTCCCCAGACGGCCCACAGTTCCTGCAGTCACTGTGAGAGTTTCCCCAGCAAGGCAGAGACCTTATTCCTGCACTTTGTGTTCTCCGCAGAGGCCATAACAGCCCAGGGTTCTAAGTTTGGACGTGGATTTTTCTAAACAAGCACATTAATTGTTGAGGTGAGAGCATTGCAGATAAAACCTATTAAAACAATTAAATATCCAATAGGTATGCTAATAAGCTTAGCAGAGGTCACTTCCTCAGTCTCTATAAGGGCTTTGGTCCTGTTCGCAGAGGCTGAATTCCTGTGCAAAGGAGCCTACGCACAAGGTTTGTGCACCACTTAAATCCTCAAAATAGGGGTAAGTGGGACTTGTCAGAGGCCTTGTGCACAGGCGTGATGTCCACTGGTGAAATACTTTCTCAAAAGTGAACCACTGTGCAGGGGACCTTTGACTCCAAAGAGGATGGAGAGAGGCTGTTTTGAGTGGTGGCAGATGGCAGAACAAGGAGCAATGGTCTCAAGTTGCAGTGGGGGAGGTCTAGGTTGGATATTAGGAAAACTATTTCCCTGGGAGGGTGGGGAAGCACTGGGATGGGTTCCCTAGGGAGGGGGTGGAATCTCCATCCCTGGAGGTTTTTAAGTCCCAGCTTGACAAAGCCCTGGCTGGGATGATTGAGTTGGGGTTGGTCCTGCTTTGGGCAGAGGGTTGGACTAGATGACCTGCTGAGGTCTCTTCCAGCCCTGGGATTCTATGATTCAACCAGACCACACAGCACTGTGGAAGCACTCGAAGGGTTGGGTGGGTTAACAAACCACAGAGGGTGTGGCTATTGCTTCTGCTGGATGCTTTATTTAATTCTAATTCATTTGTGGCATTTGGTTAGATTAGGACGGCTAATTAGATAATTCATTTGGTTAGATTAGGACGGCTAATTAGTTGTCATAACCTGATCTGTGTTCATGCCCAGTTGCAGCAGGAGCAGCTGGAGTCAAAGACCAGACCAGCCTGGCAATTTTGCAGGTAGGTTTTCCCATTCACGCAGTGGTAGAAGTAGTTCTTGTTAGATGGGTCTGGGTAGAGGCCGCTGGCCTTGCTGGCACAGAAGCCGCTACCCCCGGAGCTGCTGGGGTTGCTGCCGGAACCGCTGCTGGGGTTGCTACCGGAACTACCGCTCCCGCTCCCGCTGCTGGGCGCTTCTGTGATTGGGGAAATGGGCTGAGCAGGGGCTGTGCAGCCTGAAATGAAAGAAGAGAATCACAAATCAAGCATGATCCTACCAGGAAACAGGCCACATGTGCACTTCATTCAGGAGGATTGATTTAGCTACCCTCCCATTTTCCTCCCCTCTTCCCCGCCCCCACCACCACTTCAGTGATGGAGCTCCAAGAAACAACTTTCAGCGCTTGGATTCATAGTCACTGAAGTTTGCTTAGATTCAGATCTGGGCTTCTGATGGCTCTTTAATAAAGATGACACTGAACTATTACATTCCAATTTGGATCCGGTTTCCAAAAATTTAGGCCCATTCCTGCCTGATCTGCGGCAGCTCCTTCTTTTCCTCTGCTGGGTCTTCCCTATAGCGCTGTAAGCAGGACTCAATCTTCATTCTGCTATTCCAGAGCCTGTCTTACCATTAATAGATATTATCAATTGAAATGAACTGCAAACTCTCTCAGGCAGAGGAAAAGCCACAGAGCTAGGTCCCTTTGCCACTGAACAGCTGACTTTGCAGCTCACTCAAAGGCATTTTTGCAAGGGGAAAGGGAAAATAATGTTCTAAAATAAGGAGTTGCGGATAGTTACTTGCCTATATCTGATCTTAAGAGAGATGCTATTCAGGGCTAGGGATGCCAGATGGTTTAACAAATAATACAGACCGTTGAGCAAAACAAAAAAGGGGGGGGGGACCAAAGTTGAGCAAAAAAGAAAAAAAAATGGGGGCACTGCACCTTTAAATGGCCCAGTGCTCACTCTCCTGACACGGCAGGGGTAAATTGTCCCAACTGGGCTTCCATCCGGTATTTTCTGTTTTTTTTTACCGGACAGGGGACCCTAATAACAGACAGTCTGGGCGAAAACTGGACACCTGGTAACCCTATTATCAGGGCTGGCTTGAATCAAGCAGAAAGCAATAAACAGTTCACTACTAGCAAGCAGAGTCTCATCTCTGCTTGCAAACAGGATGTTCATTCTGTGAGCCTGTCGTGCTGAAGTTACTCACTAGTGCTCTGCAGCTAGCAAGCAGAGTCTCATCTCTGCATGCAAACAGGACGTTCATTCTGTGAGCCTGTCATGCTGAAGTTACTCACTAGTGCTCTGCAGGCCCAGGGCATTCTTCAAAGTGTTGATCAGGGGGAATTTGCCCTGGTTGCAGAAAGTGCCAGTGAAGTCATCCAGGTCCAGGGACCAAACCATAGCACCTCCAAAGTTATTCTTCATCAGCCATTGAGCCTGTGAAGTGCCAGGAAAGAAGCTCAAATCAGTGCACATGTGAATGCCGGCTGGGAGCTTCATCCAGCATTTGTGCATCAGAAGGTCTCACCATACCTTGATGTTGAAGCTCTTGATATTGTCATAACCAAGCCACTCGCTGCCCTGGTAGGCATAAGGGACAGACTGAGGGGCATCCCAAACCTGGGTGGCTCCGTTCTTCAGGAAAGTGCAGATCTAAGGCAAAGAGAAGAATTTTAATGAGCATCCTATCAAAAAGAACAAGTCCAACCTGTGACAATTTCTCTGGCTTGCTCATTAATCATGACCATCCGTATTGTCTCTAAGGAACTGCATTCCTTAATCCGCCCCGGTTAAATTAATTTAAATAACATCCAGAGATGATGTGGAAGAATTAGACACACCACAGGGAAAAGAATTAGAGTAGGTCTCCTAATTGCTTTAGCTTGTGGACTCAGGAATGAATCGCTTCGTTTACCTTTTGTGTCAAACAAGGCATTTGTGATGTGCAAGGACGAGGGAGGATTTTATCCTGTTTCTGACACATTAAGCTGAAATTAGCTAATGTAATAGCATTTGTTTTTGAATCAGGCAGAATCAGTCACCAGAAATAATGCATTCTGTGATTCTGGATCCTTGTTTTGTTTCTCTTTGTCCATGAACAAACTATTATTTTGTTTAATAATTAGCTAGTTGTAATTATTCAATGGGCTTTGTTACAACTTGAGACCACTGGCTAACAGTTTGATGCGACAGGAGAGGAATCACGCAATGATTACCTGTTGTGTTCCCTCCCTCTGGGGCATTTGGTATTAGCCACTGTCGGCAGACAGGATACTGGGCTAAATGGACCTTTGGTCTGACCCATTATGGCCGTTCTTATGGCATGAGTATTTGATTTGTGTGGGATGAGTGAGCACCAATACCTCATAGTAAGCCCAGAACCCAGACTGTCTTGTGTATGGCCCAGCAGGGCCGGGGCCGGAGGTGGGCGCGCCGACGGCAGTGTTGGATGGGTTGCTCAGGATGAAGGTGTGTCCGTAGGTTGGGAATCCAACAATGAGCTTCTCAGCCGGAGCCCCGTTGTTCAACCAGTAATTCATGGCATAGTCCTAGAGACAACAGATGAGCTAAAGTCTCGCCAAGGAGCTGCAAACTGCAAGGGTAAGTCTTACATTTGTTGGCACTTTTAAGGCTGATGTCATTACAGGCCTAAAGAACCTCGCCCCTAAGCTTTCAAGAGATACTTACAACATTGAAGTAGATATTGCTGCCAGTATCTGCCGGGCCTTGGTTCAGGGGGCTGTTCTCTCCAGTGTATCCTTCCCAGGAGCCATGGAAGTCATAGGTCATCACATGGAAGTAGTCCAGATACCTGGGAGAAGCATGACGTACATGGTTCCCTCTAATGTTGTCCATCATTGTGTGTAATATATTTTGTTATGGGCACAGTGGTAGGTACGGATATGCACCACCAATAGAAACACATGCTGTGGACTCCTGCCTGCTGTAGGCATTCTGTTCATCAGCTTGGTGGCATTTGAATCACTCCTGGGAGGCCGCCCAAGCTATCAGCTTACAAGGAACATGCATCTTACATGCATCTATCTCAAATTCTTTTAAAACCGCGGAATGGTTCATGCTCTTGTTAGTGCTGGCTCCACAGAGGTGACACTTGTCATGCTCCCATTTTCTGCATGCATGGTATTTCTGCTCCTCTTTGGGTCTTGTGCATCTCTATGGTGGGATTAGGGTTTAACTCATAGTTGCCAAGGAGTGCTTACCACTAAGTGCAGTTGTGTCCTAGGAGCATATCCTTCATTGGCTCAGTGCACCTACCAAAGCAGGGGAGACCTAATGAGTTGTCCTACTATTCGAAATCTGAATATCAGATCCTCAGGCTGTCTTCTGTTCTAGGATGCCAATTTATCCGCTGAAGTAGACCCGTCCCCCTAACACTACTTAGGCCAGATCTACACTAAAGGGGAAGGTCAAATTAAGATATGCAGCTCCAGCTATGTTAATTAAGCTGGAGTTGACATATCTTAATGTAAGCTTAGCCGCTGCCCCCACAGCAGGCGGCCGATGGGAGCAAATGCTCCTGTCAACTTCCCTTACTCCTTGCAGGAACAGGAGTACCAGCCGCTGATGAGGGCTCTCTCTGAGTTTGATTTAGTGGGTCTTTCCAAGACCTACTAAATCAAACTCCGGGAGAAGATCGATCATGGTGGCGTTAATCTTCCGCCTAGTGAAGACATGGCCTTCATAACTACAGTTTAGTGTTGCTAACGACTAAAATAGAGGTCACGTTTTGACCTTCCCGCCCTTGCTTGGCAACTGCCATATGATGCATATTTGCCTTTGTTAGATGGGAAAAGAAAGTCAGCTTTTATGAAAAAGAAGACAACTCTGCCATCTGAAAGCCTGGTACTCACTGGCCAAGCTGAGGAATCTGGTAGCCTGACTCAATGTTAGAGAGCCCTGCAGCCACAGCGGCAGTGACCAGGAGCCTGGGTCTGTTAACCTGCTTGGCCTCCTGCTCGAAGGCCTCCAGCATTTCCTAGGAGACATCAAGGAAAAAGTTAGTTGTTATCTACCACCATGGCTGAGTCCTCATGGCCGTCATGAGGCCAGAGAAGTGCTCAAGCAGCCGTCAAGCCCCTTTCCGTCTCTAATGTATGTGCTTGAGATCCTCCTGACCAGTGCAACCAAAAGGAAGCCTGCCTCATATTGTGATCTTGGGGGATGGAATTAAAGACATTTGTCTGCCCTGGGAGACTTTTAATCTGTTAGTAGAGGAGCCTCGTTATGATCACGATGCTGAAATTGTGACTCTCAATATTTTCAGTGTTTAGGTTTGAGTCTAGTACTCTAAGGACCAGAGAGTCCACTGGTGGGAGCACCCGGGGGAGGTTTTGTCACCTGTATTGCAGTGGAGAGTGCTGCAGTGAGATTGTCTGAGTGCTCTCCCTTGTGAAGAGCAGGTATGTATCTTGTCCTAAATCAATTACTCTAATTCTGAATTAACACAGAATCTGATTTATCCTCTGAAGTAGACCCATCACGCTAATACTACTTCGGCCAGATCTACACTAAAGGGAATTTACTGAGATTCGGGGCCTTATCCTCAATTTCCTTCCATGTGAATTGCCTGTTGGGTGTCTCAACAGCCTATATCTTATTCCCACTTTACCTGAACCAGGACGGTGAAGAGGCCCTTGTCCTGGGCAGTGCTGCCTCTGGAGCCAGGGTATTCCCAGTCAAAGTCCAGCCCATCAAATTCATACTGGCGCAGGAATGTGATGACGGAGCTGATGAAGGTCTGGCGGTTTTGAGGGGTGGAAACCATTGCAGTAAATCTAGGGAAGCAGAGGAGTAAAGGGTCCATGGATGTAGCTGCTGCTTGTTCCCATCTATCTCTGCAATACCGTGATGCAGGCACAGGAAGGGGATGGGTTGGACTTACGGTGCTGTTCCAAAATTCCAGCCTCCGATAGCCAGGAGGGTCTTGAGTTGTCCGTTCCTGCAAAAAGGGTGGAGGATTAAAAAAAGTTTCCCAACAGGTAAAAATATTTAAGCTTATTTCTAGTCGTGACAGACAGACCAACTTAAACAATTGGGGTGTGTCTAGACTACAGGGTTTAAAAAACTTCCCCTGCGTCTAGACTGCTGCCACGTTCTTTCTAAAGTAAATCGAAAGAATGTGGCAGTTTTCTCGACCATGGAAAACCTCATTTTACGAGGAAGAACGCCTTTTCTCAAAAGTGCTCTTTCAAAAAAAGGTGCTATTAATGCAAACTGTGCTTTTTTGAAAGAGAGCATCCAGACTGCCTGGGTGCTCTCTTTCGAAAAAGTGGCTTGCTTTTTCAAAAGTACTGATTGTAGTCTAGACGCTCTTTCGAAAGAGGCTTGCACTCTAGACGTAGCCTTGGTCTCTTGCTACTTTTAATAATGGTGACTTATTTGCCTTCTTCAGCTGCATTCTGTTACATGGTCTGATGACTAAACCAAGACTAGATTTAGGGACATCCTTAAATCCACAGTGGGAGTCAACATGTATTTTCATCCTTGCTATCTGCCTCTTTTCTTTGGATTCTCTCAAGCAATGCCTGAGCTGGAAATGTCATTGGTCTGCACTTGATCAAGCTGCTCTCTCTGTCAAGATAGAGAGAGATTTATTGCCTAGACATGGATCATTTTGGAAGAGGAAGGTTGCTACATGAACTTTGTTGGGCATAGAATCATAGAACACGAGAACTAGAAGGAACCTCAAGAGGTCATTGAGTCCAGTCCCCTGCCTTCCTGGCAGGACCAAGCACTATCTAGACAATCCCTGATAGACATCTATCTAACCTGCTTTTAAATATCTCCAGAGATGGAGATTCCACAACCTACTTAGGCAATTTATTCCGGTTTTTATCCACCTTGACAGTTAGGAAGATTTTTCTAGTGTCCAACCTAAACGTCCCTTGCTGCAGTTTAAGCCCATTGCTTCTTGTCTTATCAACAGAGGCCAAGGAGGACAATTTTTTCCCCTCTTCCTTGTGACACCCATTTAGATACTTCAAAACCACTATCATGTCCCCTCTCAGTCTTCTTCTTTCCAAAGTAAACAAGCCCAGTTCTTTCAGTCTTCCCCCTCATAGCTCATTTTCTTTAGCCCTTTAATCATTCTTGTTGCTCTTCTCTGGACATTTCCAATTTCTCCACATCTTTCTTGAAATGTGGTACGCAGAACTGGACACAATACTCTAACTGAAACCTAATCAGCTCAGAGCAGAGCAGAAGAACGACTTCTAGTGTCTTGCTCACAATACTCCTGTTAATGCATCCCAGAATCATGTTTGCTTTTTTTGCAACAGTGTCACACTGTTGACTCATATTTAGCTTGTGGTCCACTATGACCCTAGATCCCTTTCTGCAGTACTCCTTCCTAGACAATTGCTTCCCATTCTGTGTGTGTGAAACTGATTGTTCCTTCCTAAGTGGAGCACTTTGCATTTGTCCTTATTAAACTTCATCCTAGTTACTTCCGACCATTTCTTGAGTTTGTCCAGATCATTTTGAATCTGGGACTAGGTTTTATTACCATCCACAGCAGTGATGGACAAGAGATACCCCTTTATTCTAGATACCTACTGGTTTTTCAAGCCATTGAAGGATTTGTAGAGTGTCACATCATTCCATTCAATCGTGGCGATCTCATTGTTGGACATTCCAGCGAAAGCATAGATCAAGTGAGTACACAGGCATGGGTCAATGTTGTCAGGTTTGAATTTCCCAAGGCCTGGTCTATATTGGCCCCAGTTGGTGAAATAACATGTCAGTAGATAGGCAGAGCCTACAGAGAAGAGAGGGAGATATTAAGAGTAGAATAAAACAATCGGCGAAAACCCAAAATTATAAAAATTGCAGTGGGTTCTCCTTCACTACACTAGATAGGAGGTACCAGTTGAGTATTAGCATGATTTTCCATGATCGTTTTATGTTGTATTCACAGACAATGCAGCTGAGGTAGGTTGTATTAAGAATTTAGTAAATAAAGTCAATCTAAATTTATTGATGGAATATTTCCTTGCAATCTAGCCAACTACAAAAGCAGATTCTCCTCTCTTGGTGTTCACATCTCCACATCAGCTGCTAGAAGTGGGCCTCATCCTCCCTGACTGAATTGACCTCGTTATCTCTAGCCTTACTCTTGATTGGAACTCTTCTCTTATGCCTGTATATTTATACCTGCCTATGGAATTTCCACTACATGCATCTGACGAAGTGGGTCTTTGCCCATGAAAGCTTATGCTCCAATAAATCTGTTAGTCTATAAGGTGCCACAGGACTTCTTGTTGTTCTTGCAGATTCAGACTAACACGGCTACCCCTCTGATACTTGCAGTCTAAGAAGTCACTAATCTAGGGTGCTCAAGTTTACACAAGTATCAGTTCACAGAGAAAAACATTTTGATTTAATCTTTCTTCCACTTTTCTTTCATTAAATCTTTTGTGCGAGGAACTGTCGGTCATGATGTGGGATTTGAGCTGATTGACCTTGTTTCTGTGAGGCTGCTGCTGAGTTGCTTAACAAAAAGCCAACTTTCTTTCTTTGTTTTTATTTAAATGAAGGAATCCTCCTCTTGTTGTACAATGTACCAAGCCACATTAATTCCTGATGTTGCACTACTCAAGCTCACAGAGATTCGGGGAAGCCCCCTTAGTTTGTCAGTGGCACCTGTTCCTTTTATACCTTTTTTTAATCTACAAAGAAAGCTACTCAAAACTCTAGTGTCTTTTTCAAAGTTGACTACCAGCTAGGGAAATTAAATTGCGGATAATCAGCTAATCAAGTAGTCAATGGAATTTCCATCGACTACTCTATTAGTCAATGGGGGAGGGGGACTTGCTAATCCCACAGCAGCTCTGCACTTTAAATATAGTAAGACCCAGGCTGCAGCCTAGTTCCTATTACATTTAAAGTGCAGTTCCGCAGCGGGGTTAGCTTCCAGAGTCGGTGCGAGCTGGAACTAAGCAGTCCTGGCTTGCCCCGGTTCTAGGACTCAAAGTGGCCTTATCTCCTCTGCCCTCTTTCCCCCCACACCACAGAGACAGTGCTGGGGGGAACTGACATTTAAGCTGGTTCTCCCCAGCATTGGGTCCTGCTCCCTCTCCCCCCCCCCTTTGCTGCCTTTGACACAGAGGCAGTGAGGAGAGTGGGAAAGCAAGTAGTCGACTTGACTACTCGATAAGCATAGGCTTGTCAGATAGTCAACAAGTCGACTACTCCCTTACATCCCTACTACCAACCCAGTTCTAGTATGATGCTTTAATAAGTTAAACACATTAACTTAGATAGAAAGAGTATACAACTGATTGTAAGCTACTTCCCCCCCCCCTTTCCTTGACTCTCTCCACCTAAAAGAGTTAACTAAAAGAATACAAAGTATATTAAACTATCCTCCTTTTCCAAAGGGGAAACAAAAATCAAAACATGTTTTCAGAATTAAAAAAAGCTCATAAAAACTTTTAAAGAAAAAGAGAATAATTACAACACTAAACCTGGGACTGTGCAACTATTAGATGAGTATCACTGCAGCACCTAAAATATCTCCTGTGCCCCATTACTGTGCATTTGAGAATATTGGAGTAGTAAAGGAAAGAACTCTTTTTGGTTCACTGACAACTTTTGAGTCTTTGTATCTCTGAAGTAAATTTTGCATTTTACAGTTCAATAGCTGTTTAAACAACACTAGGAATAGCTCTTAACTCAATAGGAGTGTGTGTGTGTGTGTACAATGGGAATATATATGTATTTTCCGTGTTTTTATATGCATTCTCAGTGTTGTTTAAACAGCTGCTGAATTGTAAAACACATATATATAAAAAAATTGACATAAGAATTATTTCAGGGCCCACATCCTCTGAATTAGTTTGTTCCCGGTGACAGGAATCTCTCTTGATTTGCTGAAATTAACAAATACTACAGATATTTGATCAGAATCAGTTTTAGAATTACTCTGGCTGCAAAAACCAGATATCCTCTACAGAATCAAAAGGAAAGGATGAGGAAAAATGTCACTTATTGCCTATACTAGATGATCAAGAAGTGTGTTTATTTTGGCTTTCTAATATTTGCTTTCTAAGAGCAAGTGTTTAATAAAAACACATAACTCGTATTATGGATTATTATAAAGAATCATGGCTATTAATACTTTGTTCTTATGGAGCACTTATTGTCCATACAGCTCCAAGTGCTTTACAAAGGTGGCCAGTATCATGATTGCCAGTTTACATATGGGGAAACGGAGGCACCTACCGGGAAAGTGACTTGTTCTAGGTCACTCAGCAGGCCATAGCAGGGCTGTGAATAGAACCCAGGTCTTCTGAATGCCTTGCTGGTGCTCTATTCACTAGGAAACACTGCCTCCCCCTTTGTCCCTTGCAAAAGATAATTTTCTTTCCAGTTATACATGTGGGAAAACGTCTTGCAATGTTTTTATTTAACTTTTATATTTCCAAACACCCATTTTCCTTTAACTACTCTCTTTGTAAAGTCTTTTAAAACATCACTCTATCTCTCTTTTTACATTTTGGCCTTGCTCAGAAGTTTTGCCGCACTTGTGTTTAAATTCATGGAGCAGGGCTACTTATCACTGCTTGGTCTTGGACCTCTGGGCCATACATCAAATCCTGTTAGTTTCCCTCCCCAGGTCAGGTAGGCCTTAGGGTTGGTTATATAAAGCAAAGCCCTTAACATCAGGACATCCTGTCACCCTAACCAGGTATCAAAAGGTTCAGGATAGAACTGGCCTAGGCTGTGACATCATGTCTGGTGACATCATATCCAGAACATTGTCCTTGCCTGTGACATCAAAACGAGGCAGGACTTCTGGTCAAGGTGCTTCCAAGGACATCGCAATCATTATCTCTTCCATCCATCTCCTTGACATTTAGGAGTAGGTCAATATCTCAATCCCATAACTGATCATGCATGCATCAGTATTACATAAATCATTTCACAGGAACTCAGTTGGCTAGGCCCTGAATGTTGCCCCATTTCACCCCTTTCATGTTGCAGGAAAGACACCTGAGCTTCTTCCAAAGCCCTCTCAAATAGTTGTCCTCCACATCTCAACAGGCAGTGTTGTTAAAGCCATGTTGGTGAGAGAGACTAGCTTTCAAGCTTATGCAGAGCTCTTCCTCAGGTCTGGGAAAGGAAAGTTTGTCTTTCTCACCAACAGCAGCTCATCTGAGAAAAAATATTACCTCACCCACCCTTTATGTCTCAGGTCATTTTGGGTAGGCTTACACTTTGATCCAGGAGTGTTAATCCCATCTGTACATGCCCCTGTGAGGCCAGGTCTACACTAAAAGGGGATGTCAAAACAAGATACGCAATTTCAACTACATTAATTATGTAGCTGGAGTTTTGCCTTTCCCTGACCTTCCCACAATGGGAGGCCAAAGGGGGCAAATGCTTACATCAGCTTCCCTTACTCCTTGCACAAGCAGGAGTATTGGATGCTGACGGGGGCACCCTCTGAGTTTGATTTAGCGAGTCTTAACCATACTCGATAAATGGAACTCCGGAAGATCAATCGCAGCTGCGGTGACCTTCCATTTAATATAGACATGGCCTAAGAGAAGTTACAGAGTTGAACTTACCGGTAAGAAGCATCAACTTGGCCATCTTTCCTCGTACTGATACAGTATTGCCTCTCTCTGGCTTTTATATCATGCTTTCCCTCTGGGCTGTGCTATCCCTCTATCACCAAAACCATGGGAAGATTGTGGCATTTGATGATTAGCGGCATGTAACACATCGGAAAATAGGAACCAATATCTATGGTACAATGGACCCATTGGAGAATCTGAGTCTAAGAAAACAGTGTTATCAGTCTTCATATTTTACAGAGCAGCTGGACCCCTGGTAGAAATAGATTACAGTGTTACACATCTTGGGAGTGCTTGTTCTACTGATCAATTTTAGATTATATAATAGATTACACAGTACTAAATAGTTACTGCACACACACACACTGTACTAGTAGATATTGTGTTACATAATCTGCTTATACAAGGCTTTTCTACTCTTGGTTCTAGTTTAGCTGGAATCAAGGACACCCATGTAGGATTTCTGTAATTTAGTTAACCAGCTCACCTGAACCATTTTTGACAAGGGGAGGCACTTAGGGTCTGGTTCCGCTCTCACTTACATCTGTCTAAGACAAGAGCTATGCTCTGAGCTGGGTGACATCTTGTTGTGGATTGAATTAAAACCTCATTCAAACTGACGTATGAATGCACCATTCATTTAAAGCCGTTGTAACAAACCCATGGGGGTGGGCACACCTAAAGCAAGGCCCAGAAGCTAGCTCCATGTGGGCAAGGGGTTGTCATTTGAGACATGTGGCACGCAGACACTGAGAACAGACAAGGAGAGAGAGAGAGAGAGAGAAGGTGGGTGAGGTAATATTGTTCATTGAACCAGCTGGTGTTGGTGAGGGAGACAGCAAGCGTTCTGGAACAATGTTTATAGTGAGGGGCAGAGAGACATTCAGTCAAACTGTAAGCCCTGTATATAATGGAAACCTAAGGGAGACAGGGCTGTTTCTCAGGTCTGGGAAGCGTATTCTGAGCATCACAGCTAAATGAAAGGCTCAGTGTCAGGCGGACCAGGCTGTTTAGCATACCCGTACTCAAGGGACCATTCAAGACAGAGTGGCCTGTTAGCATCTCTGCAGTTATAGGACAACAGGAAGGGGCTAGTGGGTCACAGACTGTTGTACTAAGCTGTAAAATGTTTATTGTCTGGTGTCTCTGTTCAGTCCACGATTCTACAGTTCTCA